ACGAATTTTAAGCCGGTCATTGCATTGCATTGCATTGTATCATTCTAAACTGTTATTTACTCGCTACATCAACAGAAATATGTTTCTAATAGAAATCATTATATTGTATTAATAATCTTTGGAAAACAAACATTCAAATATAGAGAAGACATGACAGATTGGTAGAAGGTTGAATAACATCATTTTCACTCCCAGATCGTAAACATTATGCTTAGTGAATCAGTAAACGCAAGCAAGGGCGGCGCGCTAACAGTTCCAGCACTGTTGCCTCACTGCGATTGAAGCGGCTGAACATTCTCTAGTTTCTCTTCTAAGTTCCATCCCCTGAAACAAAAACCACAACAAGTTTCAGTTTTACGCTTAAATACAACTCTTGAGTGATACAAAGAGGTAAAGACAAGGTTTTTTTTTCTTCACCTTTCAGCAGCTTCTCTTTTGAACGAATCGATTTGTGTCTCAAGCACGACAGACGCAGATTGAATCTCCATATTCTTCACACAGAGCTGTCTCCATTCTTGAGATAGAGCATTCAGCTCGTACGATGTGGTTTGCTGACGTAGTCACACAACAAAGTTTCAGATTACCTCATAAACCAAAAAGAAGAGTGCAAGAAAGAAAGTGTAAAACACTTCTATTATTACCTGATGATACTTCCTTTCACGATTTACTTTCTCAATTTCCTCGTTCTGCTCCTGAGCCAGTCTTTGCATTCTGGAAAATAGAGACCAAGTAGAGTGTTGAGACCAATCTTGCTGTGTTTAAGTTCCAAAATCCAGACAGTAGGTAAGAGTTAAAGAGTGACATGTCCCATGAACTCGAAGAGCTTCTTATGTTTCCTAAGAACAAAGAAGCTCTCACGCAGAAAGCACATGAAGAAAAACAAATAGCAAGTCTCATGTACAAAAGCCAAAGAAGCATCTAATGCAAGTAAAAAGGACAACAAAGATATCAAGAGTGCTTCCACAGCTCACCTAGGATAAATACAATGAATCAACTTTGAGAGCTTGAATCCTTTTGATCACAAGTTACGATCTAAAGACTGACAATTCAATCAATATAAATGTGAACAAACCTGGACAAAAATACTTCTAACCGATGGTTGTTCTGTCTCCAAAGCTCGGGGCCATGTTTTGACATCAACTCCAAATTCTCGAGCCTGTTAATTAACAAACACAGTGTAAGAGAGTAATGCTTTATGTAACCACTCGTCAGAAGAGAACTATGCATTAGAAACATTACAAAACTGTCCTTACTCGATCAACTTTTGTTGCAATGACCGTTGATTCTTCTGAAGATACTGTTTCCAGGCAGCATCATCGTTTCTCTTACTAGCAGGCGGCATTTCAAGCTTGTATCGGGATTCAAAATCGATCCGCACTGGAGGCTTCCCAGCTCGAACACGCTCATACTCTTTGCCAAGAACTGGGCAGTTCTGATATTCGTTTTCGACCAACCAAAGAAAACAAAACCAATCAATAAATGAGAAATTGAATAAACAATTTTTCCCATTTACCTAAATCCTGAAACTAACTACAAGATCAGAAACAGTTCTTCTCCTTTCAAGAAACAATCAAATCTCCAGAAAAAAAAAAAAAAACCCTATCAATAAAGTGAGTGGAAGACTATAGTCTATAATTGATTCAAAACCCAGAAACTAAACTAATTGAAACTTTCTCTAATCCGGATACTAAGAAAAACAAACAAGAAAAGAGCAAGAACCCTAACATAACAAAGCAAAAAATCGACACTTTAATTGTAAAATCCACTATGAAGCAAAACCCAAAATCAAAAAACGATTGGAACCCACAAAAAATCTCATCGAATTCGCTCTAAACCCTACTCCAACAAAATTCCCTAACCCCGTGCTAGAAAAAACGAACAAACAAATCGATATAAGGATCTTCAGTGAAATTCACCTCGAAATCAAACTTTGGAAGAGGAGGCAAATCCTTGAGAAAATCAGCTGGCTTCTTAGAGCTACGACGCATCTCTTCCTCCACCAAACGGTCGACCTCCGACTTAATCAATGGATTACCATAGTCGTCGTCTATATAAGGAAGCGCATCGATAACTTCTGCGTTCGCCGCGCTAGCCCAAGGCCTCGCAACCTCCGGCGCCGCCTCCAGCATCAAAACGTCCCCATTGTTCGCCGCCATAATCGTCTCTCCACTTCAGAAAATTGCTCAGCCGGAAAGTGCCGAGAGTGT